TCCCTATTATTTTGTCTGCGGTGAGCTAACATCCATCTGATGCCATACCTTTAGGTATTCACTTTCAGACTTTTTATATTCTATTTGAATTTGTTTGATTTATAATTAGTTTTTCTGATTTATAATTATAGTAAGTTTGATATATATGATTTTGAGGTATATGTTTCAGTATATTTTAGTCTTTAACTCTTGAAATATTGTTCTGAAGTATTAATTGTGATATATTTAGCAATTTGTATATTTGTGATATATATTTTTTGTATATTTGTATATATTGTGATATTTGTATATTTGTGATATATTTAGTAATATGTATTCAGTCTTTCTACACAATTTCTTTGTAACCTTCAAAACTTTCTGCATTACAAGAAAATGAAACAAAGCAAAAAACCTGAAACTTACCTATTCCAGGCATTGCTGTTCTCCCAGAATTCATAAATAATGAAGCGGGAATCACTTGGAAGCTTCTGTATGGAAACACTGAGAATTGTAGGATAGAACTAATTTAATAAAACATGGCCAAGCTATTGGACATACACATCTTATTCCAAACTACTTATGAGCAGGACCAAATCTGGTGATTTTTGAAAACAAAACAAATCCCCAGGTAATAAGTAAGTCACCACACATGGCAAATTATCTGAGCTTGTGAGGTGGTTTTTTTTTTTAAAAAAAACCCTCTTGGAGTATTTTCATGGCTTTTTATTTATTAATATTTAATATTACTACACTTATGGTCACAGAACATCAGGGGTTGCAAGGGACCTCAAAAGATTATCTAGTCCAACCCCCCAGCCAGAGCAGGATCACCTACAGTAGGTCACACAGGAACGCGTCCAGATGGGTTTGAATGTCTCCAGAGGAGACTCCACAGCCTCATTTTTCATTTATCTAAAGAAATGTTAATCAACAATGCAGAAAATTAATCAAACAACTGCGGTTCAGGGACGATCAGCTGATACAGTATATTGCACGTAGAGAACAGTTTATAAAGTTTATAAAGTGACTTGTGCTGTTTCATTGAAGAATTGCGCTGTGAAAAGTCATCCTTTTGTTTGAGAGATGCGTCCAAGTGACACAGAGTTTAGGTGCTTTGAAAGCAAACATATAATGGAGTCTAAAGTCACATTGGCTGGTGTCTGCTGCAGGTGGGCACTATTTACCTGTTCTTACACTATTTAGCGAACAATTTATCATGGGTGAAAAACGACCCATGAGAATATCTGCTAATCCTCTACATAAAGTCATCTCGCTTATTATCCTGAGCACAAAAGCTTTGTAGCATGTAGGGTACTTATGCATTTGGGTATATGCATTTAGGTATTCAAATTGCTGTTCAGATGTATAGCACAAAAAGTATATATGCAGATTTCTCTGAGTGCTCGGGTGTGACATTACTCATCTTAATACTGATGTGCTTGAAAACTGGTCTCACATTATATTTCATACTGTAATAAGAAGTAAATTATATATTCTGTTGTTGTGTTTAGTTTTTTTTTCCCTGCTCTATGTGAAAGTGCGTGGTAAAATAGTAAAAATACCAAGAACCTTTGGAAAAAAGTCAGTCATAAACAGCTACAGTAAAAAAACAACCGGTAGGTGGCATTACAGACTTACCAAATGCCTATAGACTTGGGCAAGAAAGGAACTTTTTGCTATGATTTGTTGAATTGCATTCTGAGGTCAAGTAAGCTCTCTCCTCTGACAAGATTGAAGTAACTCCAGTGTAATCCTGGATGTTAGTTTTTGGAAGGGGGCTGGGGAGCTTCTCTTCTCTGTTTTTTCCTGCTCCTGGCCCACAAGAGAGTTTTGGTTTTTTTTTTTTTCATTGGTCTGCCTTTACAAGTGAACCACTCTTTTCTTCTTCAAGCTTAACTGACATTTTCTGGTCTAATCCTAAGTGTGAAAATCTCATAGCAACAAGGCTCATAAATTAGGGATGTGATAGGCAGCCTTTGAATATATAGGAAGATCCTGTATTGTGTACACATTATAAAAAAGTTATTTCATAATGGTCTGTAGTTTGTATAGTAGTAACTTTCTCCAGTATGCTAAATTAAAAAAAATTCAGTATAGTGGTGAGTCAGTAAAATTTATTCTTAACCCAGTTCTAATGTTTTATTTAATTCTAAAAGGGGCAAAGCTGAAACACACTATTGCATTAAAAATTTTGCCTTTTAATTTTGCTCATTCTTCATTACAAATAAAAATTTAAAAATGAAAGATTGTGAAAGCTTCCAAGCAGAGAACAGGCAAACAAGCTGCTAAGTTGCTCATCTGCCAGGTGAGCACAACTGAGGGAGCTTTTCAATAAAGTGTGTCAGCCCAAGAGCTTTCAGAAGCCATGAATTGATGTCCTGAAGAGCTCAGAAGCCTTAAAAGACTATTTAGCATCTTTGAGATAGCCAATATTGCCATTTTGTACTTAAATTCCACAGATACGCTTTGACATATCTTTTTGGTTTTAGCTTGTTATTGAAAAGCTGTGTCTTACACATATGCATAACCAGCCAGGAAAGATGCTGCATGTTCTCTCTTCATAAATAACCCAGCTCCACTTAGAATGTATTCAAGGAATTGGACTACATTTCTTCCTTCAGCCGGAGGACAATAACATTATACTTACTGCAAGCAGCCACCCTGGGCAGAAGCAGATTCCACATACTGCTTCAGAGCAAGCTGGAATTGCTTGACTACTTCTTCTATCACAGACATTTGGCGCTGAACAATCATTATATGCTGGTAAAAAACATTACAATATTACTGCCATGTCATCCTCTGAATTCCTTCTACTTTAAATTCAGAAACATCTATCATAAACCAATAAAAATCACAATCATCAATCAATAAATAAGTAATAAAGTCAGCATGTTTCTGAGAATGAATCCGTATGCAACCAGGTGTGTGGTTTGAGATAAGAGCATATTCCCATGATCTGCATTGGATGCAGCCTAACTTTTATTGAGGTGCTCTTACAGTCTTTTTACCTTCTTGAGCTCGGACTCTCACCTGAATGAGATGCCTAAGGTGGCCCATGGTAAATGATTAATAAAGAGGTTGGGTTTTTTTCCTCAACTTTTCTGCAGAGAATGAACAATCTTTATAAAAACAAGACTATGGAAACACTCGGAAGTACAGAAAGCCTATTTGTCCTGAACTATTAGTATTATCATTTGGCTATTTTAAGTAGTTTGCCTATCAATTTAGCTATTGAAGCTTGTCAATTTTACTAATGCAAAATTTAAAGAAACACCATGTGCTTCTTAATTAATACAACTTCATCTCCTCTAAATGTTCTTGAGTCGTTTCTGCCTTGACTATTGATACTGTTATCTCATGGATTAGCCCTCCATTATAAGCAGCCTGTCTAGCAATATTGTATAATCTCAATTAAAAAACCAGAAAAACCATTACTGCAACTCCTGTGATGAAATAAGGAAATAAGGATCATCTATTTTGGTTATTTTTCATGTGTATTTGATTTGCATTTTGTTAAGTTCAAAGCTCTGAGTTTAGGAATGTTAGCGTATTTGAGAAATTGAGCTATCTCTTGGAACATAAACTTACTTAACAGCAACTTTATTTCTGATCTGATTTCGATTTTTTAAGTTGTAATATTGATTAATGCTTAGCACTAGATACTCTCCCACCTTTCCTGATAAGGTTTCCTATAGAAATTTTGGGATGGAGGGAGCCTGTACAACTATGATTTAAAGCAGGCATGCAGCATTAGGTGATTGGGAGCAGAGAAGCTACCATCCCATAAACGCTGCTACTAAATTTGGTAAATCTTATTAATGACACCTTTTCCTCCTTTCATGAATTGAGATTTTGGCTTACTTTATCCTTTGAAAACAATGTAAAAAATAATATAAAAGTTTTGCCCACATATTCTAAGTTTTGTTTTGTTGCCTCCTGCACAATGTATTCTGCTAACTAAAAAGGATTCTTAACACTGGAAAAAGTGAGGATGGTGATTTTTAAAATTATTTTTTAGTAGAAGAGATCAGGTGAGATTGTTGTCTCAATAGGGCATTCAAGATCAAATGTAAAAACCATTGTCTTGAAAAGCACTTACAGATCTTGCATTTTCTTCCAAAACTTCCTCTTCAAATGGCTCAAGCTTTAGTTCCTTTGAGGCAGTTGAAAAGAAAATAGAAATATGAGGCAATACTACAGCTGTATTCTGCTCTTACCTTTTTAATAAACTATTCCAATAGCTAGATTGTTTAATCTCCAGAAGTTATAATTAAATCCCTTCTTTGTTAGCTGTAAGTCAAACACAAGCATTATTTGTACGCTTCAGTGATTAAATCCAACCCAGTCTGTTCTGTAAAGTTTAATTTATAATGCTGAGCAGTTGATTTTTCATTTGAGACAAATCCGCTTTTTCACAAACGTAGGTTGGACTTAACTGAGAAAAGACAGAAAGACAGATACCTTCTCACATTGTCACGGGGACTAGGGAAGTGAGCAAGAATGGCAATCTGAAATGAACAACCTGCTACTAAGCAATCATAAAGTTTCACACGAAAGAAACTTCTTTATGGGGGTCTATGGTCGCAAGGGACTGTTTTCTAGCATTGAAAAAGATGTGCATGATGCTCCAAGTCACGTTTCTGAACTGCTGCACTTGCTTCTGAGGATAGGCTGGGCACCAGCGAGCAGAGGCATCTGTGAGGCAGCAGGATGCTTGCTTGGAGTGCAAACTGGATGTGCACTTCATGAATCTGTGATTCATGCAAACACCACCTAGTAATGCACACAAAATTCTCATTTACTTACTAGGCACAGGCAGTATCTTCTAACTCAGTACCATATGGATATTCTGAAAAATATCCATATGCCTGAAAAAAAAAGCAGATCCATTTGCAACAAGCAGCTGGAGCCAAATGAACTATTTTGTTAGTGGTGCTTCACTTCTTATTGTGACAGTTCTTGGGTAACAAAGATAAAAAATTTTCTTGTTTCCAGCCAGGTGAGGATAGATTAATCCCAGGCAGGAAGCATTTTACTAGCCTAAACACTGTCCTTGTGGAAAAGCTAACAAGTCATGTGCAGGCAGAATGCAAATGAACAGGGGACCTCTACCAGCGGCATGTGGCAGATTGAGGCTTTTTTTCTTTTCCCCAGGGAAGTGTAGAGAAGAGGAAAGAAATTACTCAAGTTGTACTGCACATTTTCTCTCAAAGTATCAAGAAAAGAATTCCATTTTTTCCAGTATATAAAAATTTAGGACTTGAGTCTACACAGACAGCCCACCACTGTGACCTCAGAGCATGCAAGCACTGGCACTTCGTCCTTGTCTGTGCAGAAACAGCGCTCCTGCATCGGCTGACTCGATGTTGAACATGACTGAAGTAGCCCAGTGTGGAGAACAGAGGTCCTACCTGGCAGTTATCATGCAGCCTCAAAATAAAACCTGATGCATCTTGGATGTGGGGCTTTAAAATACCTCCTCAGTGCTACCTCACCTCAACTGAGAAATGGTAGCTTCTGCAATTGTCTTTTAACATGACTGTGTGATCCCTTCTGATCTGTTTCAGAGCAAAGTAAAAAAGAGATGCTGAAAGACGGCTGATAGTTAACATCTCTCACAGTTAGACCTGGCTGTGAGATACCAAGTCAAGCAAATGCAAAGTGAAAGGTGGATATAGACTGCCTACTGGCAAAATTAAGTTTATCTAATTGCTATGTTTTATTTATCAAGTTTTACAGTGATAAGCCCTGTCACTGTTTCCCTTTGATGCTGAGCTCCTTTTCAGACTCAGATTCTCTGTCATTTATCTGTAGCAGATCTGATCATTTTATAAACTTATTTCACGGAATCACAGAATGTTATTTCCTACAATTATTTACTGCAAAATGTCTGGCTGCTTTCTGTAACTTGTGAATGAATTATTGCTGTATGCCAGGTTTCTTTTTTTCAGTAATATTCTTTTAAATGTTAGGATTCCTTAAACTCCTTTGGGCATCAGTCTGTGTTGGGAGGTAACTGTGGTAGGGCAGCAAGCTGCTGTTGTCAAGCAGAGCTGGGAGTAAAGTTAGACCAAAACTGAGAGTTACATTTCAAGATGGACTTTGACATTTCAAAATCCAATTTATATCTATTCAGAAAAAATCAAGTTGCTACTAAAATGTCATTAATGTGGCAACTGCTGTGTAATTGCTTTTCTCATGCAGAAATGATCTCTGGAGGAAGCTAGTGTGTGCAGGCGGGTGGGTATGCCCTGGCCAGAGGCTTAATGGACTGAGCAGACCATGAGGAGCTGCTGAGCATAGCGAGGAACAGAGTGAGAAGCTGACAGAAGTTACAGACAGTGCCTCAAAGAATGGCCAAATTTCACAGCTGGTTAAGGAGAAGTAATGCAAGAGATTGTCAGACCTCAGGGATAACCGAAGGGAATACTGGGCTCCTTTTAGAGAGCAGAGTCTTGCAAGGCTGTCAGTGCTGGAGGTGACTGTACTGGTAATCAGTAAGAAGACTGAGATAACAGAAATACCAAAGTGTGGTCCTAAACTGGGACCAAAGAGGAAAAGTAATTGGGGGCAGTTTGTTAATCTGGGGACAGAGCAATGGCAGAGAAAGGTCAGTATGCTTGTCTTCCTGAGCGCTGTGCCAGGCCACCACTATTTATTCTGTCTTCTTGTTATCCCCTCTACTTGACTATTTCCTGTGTGTATAATTCGCTACTTAACTCAACTTGGACCTGTGGGCAAGTAGGAGACCTGTGAGTAGGAGGAGGGTCCTTTTCTGCCAGGACCCATGGTCTAAGATAGTGTCTGAGTAAAGAGCATGGGTCCAGCCGCAGATACTAGATGGGCTTAAAGCCCATGATAATGTTCAGGGGGAACCTCCATCCTGATCAGCTGGAAAGATGGAACAGGGTGAGGCTGCTCCATGTCCATGTTTCTGTGAGTGCTGCCTGTTGGTGGGTGCCGGCATGTGTGAACCGATGTGTCTGGAGTATGTGCACAGCTTTTGCTAGTGGTGAGCACTGACCTGCAGGGAGGAGCAGCATCAGCCTGCACCCCATCACAGTGGGACTGGAGCAACTCCTGGGTCTGAGAGCACTTCAACACAAAACCTTGCCTCCAGTAGACCAGAAATAAAAATCCCCTGGGTCCCAGAATCTACTGAATGCAGCCACTCCCTTAGCATCTGTCTGAAATTGTCTGTCTGTCCCTCAATAGGAACACTTTATGTAGAAAATGACACGAAAATTTATAACCTTACTTTTTCCTCTGCTATTCTTTCTTCCCTCTCCAAAAAAAACAACGCAGACATAAAACAACTTTTTAAACCTAGGGTAGCAATCAATCTGATTAGTTGAAAAAATTAAAATAGCTATTTTCTGTACAGACTTTTCGGATCTATATGAAAAAGTTGATTTGTGGTGATGGGAAGGGGAAAACGATTTGTGGTGATGGGAAGGGGAAAAGGAAGTATGGAAAAGCCATGTCACAATCTTACGAAGGAGGAAAGAAGAAGTTAAATGATCTCTAAGGTCCCTTCCAGCCTAGGCCATTCTATGATTCTATGATTCTATGAAGTTGGAAGGAAAATTCAGCATGTAATGAGTGTTAGCTCTCTTAGGTGATGACAAAGTTTCACTCATTATTGATTGGAAAGACTGCATCTGGGACATGAAAGCGTTTGTGGTGTGACGATTGCTTTAGCAAAAGTGAGAGAACAAAAGAGTGAAGAGAAACGCACACCTTCTTTTCCAGCCTGTCAATCAGCTTTTGCAGTCTGTTTATCTGGGTCATCCACTGGCTGTCTTCCTCAATCCAGCCTTTGGAAGATATGAATAATGAACATTAATAAAATGTTACTAAATACTGGAAGATAGTGTATTCATTAATTTTATAAAAAAGTTTCACTTAGCTTGCAGTGTATTTCACTTCTCAAAGACTGTGCTGCAAGTATTCCAAAGTTCATTTGAGTGTAACTAAAGGAAAGCATGATTCTGACTACATGATTTATATTTTTTCTTTTTAAAGACACAGTAGAAGTCCAATGCAGAATAAAAACTACATTCTAGATTCATGCTTTTGAAATCATGCTGATACCTGCATAAAGGAATGCTCTCCTCTGCAGATGGAACCAGCTCATAACCTGACCACCTTCAGCTCAAAATGCAGAATCCTCTTTGTGTGTATGTGTGTGTGTGTGTTAAATCTCTCTCTGTCTTAATATTCTTCTTAGTTTGCCATTTCATAATCTTCTTTATGTGAAAATTTCTCTAAAAACAGAAGTCAGCTCTTCTGCTGCATAGAAAGCCTGTCTTTGGGGTTCCTTTGAAATACATCCCATGGAGGGACCATGTGCTGTGTCTTGGCTGCTGTTCCTCTTTCCCCTGAGAGCACTGCTGAAGTGAACGAAAGGCAGCCAAAACTGTCTTAAATATCCTGGCATGGCCAATGCTGCTTAGGTGACAGGATCTTACTTCCTCCTGCAGAGAGACAAGCAGATCTGCTCTAGGGCCTCAAGTGCAAGGACACTGCCATGATCAGCCTCTTGCTGTTCTTAGGATCCTGACACAATGCTTCCAGCATGATTCCAGGATTATTCAAAGGTAAAGAGTATGTATGTTCCTTCTCAACAAAAAACACATTCTTATGAGCAGCAGAAAAGAATGAATTGGATGTACATGTGCAGCTAAATGATCTAGGTTTCTGGCATGATGTGTCGAGGAATTCTGATATTGAGGGATTCCTGAAGGAGACTCCTAACGTAACTGTAGAATGTCTCACATGCATTGAGAATAACGGGCTTTCTCTTTGTTCAGAAAAGGTTGACTTAGCTGCAGCAGCTGGTTTTGTAATTTCACTCTGAGGGATTTTCAGCTTTGTTACAGTCATCTGCAATATGCTCTTTCAGGGCTTTTCATGTGTTTATCCACTAATTATGGATAAATTCTTGCAGTGGACTCTAAAGCTGGTTAATAACATTAACTGGTGTGCACTGCAAATAATGATCCTTTTTTACTTTTCCAACCAAACAGCATTCCGAGGTGCTTGATAAATTGCAGAAATATGATTATTAGGATTGATCCTTCCTACACTAGATTTTTCTAGAATGAGATTTTGGGATTGAAATGTGTAATTTTTGGTAGTAACTGCAAATTTTGACCAACTCAAGACTGATCAAGTTTCATTATAATAACTTCCCTATGGTTTTTTTTTCCTCCCAATTAATGGAATTTAGCAGCAGAGAAAAGACTAAGGACACTGTGTCTTCTTTCTTTATATGGATAGGAGATGTCCCTTTCAAAAGACTTCCTAGGTCTCCATCTCCACTGCAGTCATGCTCACAGCTGTCTGATGACCTGATATCATATAGCAAAGGTGAAACTAGAAAATGTTGTTCTACAAAAGCACAAGCATCTCTGAGCCTCTCTAAAGTCTCTGGAAAATTTTGCTTTGCTAAAGTCTCAAGAAAATTGCCTATCAGATGGAAAGGATATCACTCAAGGAAACAGTTATGTGCATTATGAGAGGAATTCCTGACATCACTCACAGTGTGAATGTGTACGTAAGTGACTGTTCTAAGGAGAGAGCAAGGTTATTTATCAGAAACTGAAGATTTTTCAACACATGCTCTTGATTTTCACATTCATTAACTTGCTCATTTTCTACCTGGGAGTTCTTGTGGCACTTGGACTATGTTTTGACCAAACAAAGAAACTCTAGTGCTGGGGACATACCACAGGTGCAGTATTTAGAGGGGGCAAAGAGTGGCTTTACCAGAAGGCTAAAGAAATGCTGGCTTGAGCGTTGAGTGCACATGCACACCTACAGTGTTACTGTGCATGGGCACAGGCAGTAAGGCAGAAGACCAAGTGCCAAGACCAACACAAATCTTGTCTTGTGGAGAAAGATGTTAGCTCTTTGAAATTACGTTAATACAGTAAGTATTGCATAAGTACAGCTTGCATATGTTTGAGTTTCTTCTGTACTCTGTGAATTAGGAGTGCAGCTCCCAGCAAGGGACCAAACATCATCCTGCACCCAAACATCATTGCGCTGAATGAATAGCATCATTTGATAAGTGGCAGAAAGCAAGTCATGAATGTGAGTGACAGAGAGGTCTTCAAAAGAGGAAGGGGTAAGCACATGGCTGCAAAAAGTGAGACCTGCATGACTGCTCAGGAAGTGGGCTTGACCCATCACATACTTTGCTGTTTCAGTCGTCTTCTTGACTTCATTCTGAGAGACGTTACTAAGCCTGGTGATGCCTCCACTGCAGTCTCATGCTTAATGTCACTGTTTCCAAACAACCTGATTTACCAAAGTACCCTCTCATATTTTCCAAAGCAGGTATGCTGTTTCAGACTTTTTTTGTGTAATCTTAAATGAAATCTTTTTTCTCATCAGCTTTTGTATTTTCCCTTTTTGTCATTTGTTCCCTTCAGCTGAGATACAAGTCACGATAGAGAACTTGTTCCTGTGTAAGTTACAGCCTTCATCTTTCCACTTTTATCTTGCAGGCTACAAATATTACCAGCCCACAGCCCCATAGCGATATCCCATAGGTCTGCATTTATTTTTTATCAATTCAGAGCTATGGGAATACATTTATTTTCCTTACAGTTTGAGCTAATGCCTTCTATATTAAATTGAAGATTGATTTTTGTTAGTAAAACATCACTTAGTTACCACGTCTAAATTAAATTTTTGAGTGTGTGTGTGTTTGTGTGTGTGTTTATGCATGTACTTTAAATATCTTTAAAATGTGAAACACCATACCTGTACTCAAATTCGAGCTATTTGACAACAGGCTGCTGTTCCTCTGAAGCCTTCGAGCTGAGCGTTTTCCTGGCCATTGGACCACTTCTGGTTTTGTTGGGCCTTGTCTGCACAGAATCACAGGAGATCTCATTAGGTAAACTGTGTGGGAGGGCTCTCCTCTCTCTATTCTTGCAACATGTGCTCGCATGTTCTCTTTTGAATTATAGAAGCAGAAACATCTATTGAGACCATTGAATCATTTTCCAGATTTTCACTATTACTAAGTAGTTGTGTTTAGGTTGCTAATCATGAAAGAAGTGGAAAAAAAAAAAAGATGGGTTAAGCTGATATAAAAAGATGGGTTAAGCTGATATAAACTTGTATTTTAGGGAGAAAAAGATCAAGGTCCGTATCTGTCCATGATAGGGTTCTGACTTGACCTAGGCAATTATTCACATTGTTTCTTCATTCACAGGAGTTTTTTAGCATCTCTGCTGAGGAACTGGGGTCATAAGGACAGCTAAAAGTGAGATATGAACTTTAAAAATCGATCCTTTCAGCTTAAAGATTGAAAAGATAAACAGTTAATAAGGAAGGAAAACTGATAAGAATTAGCTCATATTGGGTGGAGGACAGATACATTTCTGGAACCAGTACTGAAACATAGCAGATACAGATGACTTATGTTTGTACTCCAGTGATTTAGTCACTGAAGCTTGAGAGTTTGTGTGAGGATTGGAGGCTGTCTCTACACAATTCTTCTTCACCATCCAGCTGGAGAACAATGAAGGACTAGGACTATGGTTAGTTTTAAACAATTAGTTGGATAAGTGGTTGCAAAAAATATTAGACAATAGTCTAAACAGCTGAGTAAATAAGTCCCTGGTTGCTGCTTTGGAAAACTCTCTGGTCTTCTGAAGCACAGAGTGAAGGCTCATCGAAAGTTCATGCACTATGCTAAGGAGATGTTTTAGGATGATATTTTCTTCAGCATAAAATCCCTTCTCAGTAAGCTAAAATATGGCAGTTCCTCACTGTGAGAACTCTTAAATTAGTTCAGTCTTAATGGCATTTTGATTCAGACAATTTGCCCTTGAGTTAGGTTAAACATAACTGAAAATTTTTTTACATAGGGACCTGGACATCTGCTGACTCCCTTCACTGCAGCTGGGCAGAAGATTTGCTCACCTCTGCTGCTGAGTCTGCTCCTCCGTGGTTTCCATGGCACACTCCAAGGAGCTCTGGAGGGACTGAAGCTGGTTCATTGTTTCCTTCAGAAGAAAGCGAGTCACAAATTGCTCCAAATGAGAAGCTTCCTGATATTTCTAAAAATTACATGGAAAAAAAAAAGAAAAAGGTAATGATTTGCCTGCTAGATTAGAAATATGTGAGAGAAGATTCAGATCCAATTCAGAAAGGAAGCAACTTGGATGTTTTCATGCTTATACATGTGAGCCACATAAGCAAACTTTTATGTTTCTGGCCAAAAAGACCTCTGAATTTCCACGTATCAACACTGGTCCCACCCGAGCTGAGAGAGGCCCGGGTACACAGTGGCACAACATAGTTGATACTGAAAAAAACCCTTTTCCTTACATTTCTTAACTCCAGTTGATGGAGTAGAAGATTACTTCTTAAGTATGGAAAATCCAAGGTACGATGGGCTGCAGAAATGAATTGAAAGTTTTTATTCAGATCCAGTCTGTTTATCTGTCACACTGGCTTGTCTCTACCAGTGATTATAGGAACACTCTTTGAGCAGGGCATGTGATTAGTAACAATCCACTGGAAAACTCCCCCAGCAGTTTGGCAGAAGGACTGTCTGTGCCAGACAGATTGCTTTCTGGACTTAACAGTCTTTGACTGACTTTCTTCCTTTAATTTGCTTAACTATTTTTGAAACCATGTATCTGTATCTTTCTCAGTTATATGAAATGCATCTAAATGTTCCAGCTCTCAGCGTTCTACTTCCTACAGAAAAGTGCTTTCATTTACTTTTTACTAAAGGCACAGTGGTACAGGATGTCACTAGAAGAAAGAAAATGTTAATTCTGAATTAAGAAAAATGTGTACCGATTTATTAAGTGGTAGAATTAACTCAACTGACATGCTCAGTGTTTGTATTGTCAGCGTACTGCACCACCAATTAATAATGGGACCTACTGATGGCATCTGTATATAAACTAGAAAAATGGCTGTTTCTTGAATTTCATTAGCTGCAAATTACCGTTCATTAGCATACACATTATACTACACAGCAGTTTGGGCAGTCCGGATGAAATAGGTCTGTGTTAACATATCGTTCTGCTTGTTAGTTTTACTGATTGTGAGTGAATGAGGGTAATTTTCCACTTCTTCCTCATCAAGAGACGACTGTGACCTTTGTGAGCAGCTAAGATCTGAGTTTCCATTAAAGCAAATGAAAATATACATAATTAGTGATTTCCCTGTGGAAAAGGTCACTGTGGTCTTTAAAACTGGCTTATGGCTATCTTAAAAGGTGCAGAAGAGGTTTGTCTTCTATAAAGGCAGAGGAGATTCAGTGATTCTCTTGATCCTCTTGTGCTCGGGTGCCAGCCCCGATCTTCTCTCCTTGGGTGACCTGACACTACGCTGATCCACTGATCAGAAGAGTGGCTCCTTCAGGTGCCGAAGGAGGGAGATACTTGTGTTTGCTTACTTGGGGCAAGCAAACTAAACTTGGCTGGGACAAAAAAAAAAACTCTGAGGAAAGGACAGGGGTGAATCCCTGGAATATCCTTGCACAACTGCTCAGAATTCATTGCTTGCATCTTTTTTAATTTATCTGTGTTTGAATTTATTTACACTAATAGTCACAGTCTTAAATAAATTTTATACATAGAAAATCCTATGAAATGAAATTCTAAAGTCTCATTTAATAATATCCCTCGATGAAAGTAGTTGTTTTTCCATCAGGTACTCTCTGCCTTGTAGTAGGGTGCAAGTGGTGATGCTAAATGCACCATCACAGGCATTCCTCTCTTCAGCTGAGTTTACAGCAGAGAGCTGATGAACAACTGAGTACATGGATTTATGCAAAAAGGATCCAGACTTCAATCTTAACCACTGGCAAGTCTGTGTCATCGAAAGTTAGAGAAGGATAAAAAAAAAACCCAAGTTATCCATAGTCAAAAGAAAAAGTGTTCTGGATGGTACAAGTGCTGTTCTTTGTGTTTTGAACTTCGTCTGTCCGCCTTCAGTGTTCTATGTAATCTTCACTTCTATTTCTTTGTAAGGAACAATAGAATGAATAACTAAGTTTTTTTTCCTGGCTTTTCATTTCCAGCAGAATCTAGATATCTTGTCCACTTTAAAACATCAAGATGGGAGATGACTGTGGTATTTTGACCAACCTGATCTCCTCCTTGACAAGATGACCTGCTCAGTGGATGAGAGAAAGGCTGTGGATGTTGTTTACTTGGACTTCAGCAAGGCTTTTGACATCGTTTCCCACAGCATCCTCCTGGAGAAACTGGCTGCTCATAGCTTGGAGTTCTCTTCACTGGGTGAAAAACTGCCTGGATGTCTGGACCCAAAGAGTGGTTGTGAATGGAATTAGATCCAGTTGGTGGCCTGTCTTAAGTGGTGATCCCCAGGGCTCGCTAATGGGGCCAGTTCTGTTTAATATCTTAATCAAGGATCTGGATGAGGGAATTTAGGGCACACTCTGTAAGTTTGAAGACAACGCCATATTGATCTGCTTGAGGCTAAGAAGGCTCTACAGAGGTATATGGACAGGCTGGATCAATGGGCCAAGGCCAGTTGTATGAGGCTTAACAAGGCCAAGTGCTGAGTCCTGCACTTCAGTCACAATAACCCCAGGCAACACTACAGTCTTGGGGAAGAGTGGCTGAAAAGTTGTCCAGCAGAAAAGGACCTGGAGGTGTTGGTGGACGTCTGGCTGAACATGAGCCAGCACTGTGCCCAGGAAGCCAAGAAGGCCAACGGCATCCTGGCCTGTATCAAAAATAGTGTGGCCAGCAGGAACAGGCCACCTTCCTCCAAGCTCAAGGGCTCTGCATCCCTAAAAGGAAGAAATCAGGCAAAAACAGGGGACCTATATGGCTAAACAAAGAACTCCTGGCTAAAATCAAATATAAAAGGGGAACACACAAAGCGTGTAACTGGTAACCTGGGATGATTACAAGGAAGTTGCTCATGTAATCAGAGACCAGGTTAGAAAAGCTAAGGCCCTCACAGACTCCAATCTGGCCAGTGATATTAGAAATAACAGAA